ATTATGCAACGCTATGCTTGGCATCCAGAACCATTAAAGGGACATTTAATATAGAGTGACTTACCAGTGTTTTCTCAATTCTTAAGCACCCATGCCCACAGCTATGTTCTTCTGCCATGCTATGAATGTGTCCGCTAAGCTCCATTAGATAAGTGCCAATGGAACAGATGAGCACTTGATGAACAGCTAGACACATCCTGTTTAGAGATTGTGACATTCAACATGCTTTTGAAGCTTCAATGCTGTAAAATGGAAGATATCTCTCCCAGATCGATGGAAAGTCTGCCTTTCCTTGATTATATTGTCAATACTCAGGACCTTCTGCCATGTTTTGCCCCTTTCATCAGACACATGATTGCAATGAACATGTGGTGACGCCCTATTTTTTTTATTTCCTTTCATTTGAAAAGGAGGTTTATATAGTACTGTTCTTTTCAGAGAAAGTTGTACATGTTGCCCTCCAAGGAGCTTAGTCTTTAATGAAGAACTCTGGGCACAACTGTTAATCCTTGCAGGTTGCTAGCCCAGCACTGCAAGAATGAACTGCTTTTGGCTTGGGTCAAAAAAAAAAAAATTATACTCACCCGAGCCACTGTGCTGTCAGTGCTCACTCCAACCTGTCTCCTCCTCCATTGCAGCGATGGTCTGTCCCTCTGTGCCCTCAAATCCAATACACAATGTATTGGAGGTGATGACTCGGGGACCTTAGACAGCTGCAACGGAGGGGTAGAGATGCTCCATGGACCAGTCTAAGAGTTGGCCTGCTTGAAGGATCAGGCAAGTATAACGTATTTATATTCATTTTTTTACCCAGGAAAAAAAGCCCTTCACCTTTTGCAGTGTGGGGGCAGCCCCAATACAAGGGTTAAATATATTTGTGCCTGGATCTCTTAAATGTATTCGGAAGTCATACACACACACACACACACACACTTCAGCCAGTTTAGGTGGAAGACCGTTAACCTTGTTGGAGATGACACTACTCCCTTAGGCTGGGTTCACACCTAGGCGTTTTTCCGCGCTTTCGTACTCGCGGGAAAACGCTCAAACAGGGAAATGCCATTATTTTCAATGTGCATGGTTCCCATCTGGGCGGTTTTCCGCGAGTACGAACGTGCGGGAAACCGCCCTACGCCCAAAGAAGTACATGTACTTCTTTGGGGCGTTTTGGTCGGGCGGTTCTATCGGGATACAGCCAAGTATCCCTCGGAAACGCGCTTTTTTCGAGCGTTTTTTTAACCGCGAATCGTGGTAAAAAAAGCGCATATTCAATCCGCCTAGGTGTGAACCCAGCCTAAGAAAAACCCACACAGACATGGCCAGCAAACACAAACTCTGTACTAATGGTGTCTGTGGATAGGAATTAAAACGTATGCAAATCCAAAATTAAAAATGTAATAGCTTGCATCTTACAAGCCCTTGGATGTTGAGGATGTATATCATTTTAGGGTATTTTTCTCCTTTATTTTCAGTTATTCTACGAATAACCCTTCCTGTCCTTTGGTGGTTACAATCGCTTCTCCGTTGTATTTATGGAAGGAGCTATGAATATCACACAAGCTGGTCTTCAAACATGTCTGTCTTTGTTCATTTCCATTACGTGGTAGTTGATATGAGAGAAAGATCACATTGTTATTCCTTTCTTTTGATCTCAGAAGGGACAAGGACATTGCATTTGTGGCAAGATCAACAGGTATTTTCTGTACTTGCTGAAAAAAAAGGCAGGCACCACATCTTAGGACTAGCAAGCTGCAGTAATGTACATTTTTAGTTTTTGGGTTAAGATGCACTTTAAACCAGGGATGGTAGTTGAGGGTGCAATCTCTTGATTTATTGTTTTATTTCCATAGTGAGTTGTCTAAAGCAAATGTTGTCTAAAGCAAATGTTCAAACGGTCTTTCTGCAGGTTGCTGAGTTGACATATTTAGAAGCCGTAAACTGCATGGTAACGTTTATGTGTGAAAGTATTTAATTGCGCCTGCATTCCTGCTTAAAAGAGCGGTCCTCAATCCTGACTCGGTGCTTTATGGTGCTGGAAAAAAGGGGCCGTAACATTCACAGCTGGAGGCGATCTCCATTGTTCAACGTCCACAAGTGATTTTCATAAAAATGGTCTGGTTGCAGTGTAGTAAACTCTGCCATTGAAGTTCACTTGCCGTGTCCTTTTACAATGGTTTGTGATA